GGAAACGCAGCAGTCAGCAGAGTTGACAGAGCCAGAGACTTGGACTGGTAGTGGAGGTGCCTGGGACCCAGGGACCACAGGACAGCATCACCAGCAACACCTCTCCCACCGTCTCACACACACACACACATACATACACACACACGCACACCACACACGCACACGCACACCACACACGTCCCTGGAGACTCTGAACCAATCTGGGAAGTCCCATCACCCTTCCCTGATTTTTGTCGTCTCTATCGACGGGGGCTAAGGCATGTGTTTCTTTCTCTCTACCCAGACATTCCTCACCACCCCCCACCCTGCAGATCCGTCTACGCCCAGGAAGCCTGAGAGAGGAGGCCGGTCTGTTTTAAGGAGAAAGGAACAGAAATGGCCCGAGCCGAGTTCTTTCTTTAGGCCTCCTTCTGGGAGGACCAGAGACAGCGGGCTGTCCCCCCAGTGAGCGCTCGCTCTGGTGTGGAACTGGCCCACCTCACTTGGGCTGCGCCCTAGGGAGGTCGACCCCCATAAAATGCGAATGAGAAAGCTGTGCCTCCCGCCTGAGCCCAGCGTTAGGAGGTGGTGAGCTTCCTGTCCTCTCTCCCGGCAGAAGCAGCCGATAGTCACGAGGTGGGAAGCGTCTGGGTCCCTGGAAAACCACGTGGAGGAGAGCCTGCCCTGAGCAGACACCCTCACTGGCTGGGTAGGCGGCGGAGAAGAAAACTGCGGTTGGGTTAAGCCACTGAGATTGTGGGAAACGGTAGATCCGTTACAGCAGCTGTTACACCTCCTGGCGACACAGCAGGCCTGGCATCTGCCCTCTCCTCAGACCTTCTTGTTTGGATGAAGCAAAAAAGAACTGGAGCCCTGGCCAGTTTGGCTCAGTGGATAGAGCGTCGGCCTGTGGACTGAAGGGTCCTGGGTTTGATTCCAGTCAAGGGCACATGCTCGGGTTGTGGGCTCGATCCCCAGTAGGGGGCGTGCAGGAGGCAGCCAATCAGTGATTCTCTCTCATCATTGATGTTTCTATCTCTCCCTCTT